CGAGGAAAGCCTCCATAACTGGGTCTGTAGATTCTGATTTTTTGGAGTTCCATTTCTTTCATGTACGGCATGACCCTGTGGCATAAAATAATAGTGAAACAAGATAGGGACCCCGGCGGGGGGGGGGCGGCCTCTCTTCCTTCCCTGCATCTGAATCCATCCCTAGACCCAGAGGTGAAGTGAACTTTCTAGAGGTCTCAGTTTTTGAGTCCCTGCTTTTTGACAACCTGATTGTTCTAGACTGGACTGCCCTCACCTGATCTCTGAGTGTTTGCCCAGTGATGATGAAGTGTGGGAGAATCAGAGCTGAGGGTGCTCCGTGGTGAGGGAGAGTTCTGGCTTGAGTATCAGCAGGGAGGTGATGATGAAGTGTGGGAGAATCAGAGCTGAGGGTGCTCCGTGGTGAGGGAGAGTTCTGGCTTGAGTACCAGCAGGAAGGTACCTTGGAGGGGGAATGTAGCATACGGCGGGGAAGGGAAGGGCTTAGCAGGGAGCGGAGGCAGAGGGAAGCATGTGGCTGATTTTCCTCCCCGTTTCTCTCTCATCTTGTAGTGTGATTCTGGAGAGTGACCCCCAGCAAGTGATCCAGAAAGTGAATTTTAGGGTAAGAGTCATCCATCCCCCCTCACTCCCATCTCCTCCAGGCTGCCCTTCCCATCCTCTCCACCTCCTGTCCTCCCTGTATCTGGGCTGCCAGAACCCCGATGGTGGGAACCCAAGCTCCTCTAGCAGAAGCAACCACTGGGTTGATGCACTTGTTGGGGGACCAGCAGTTTGGAGGAGTGTCAGTTAGTAAAAGATATCTCTGTCCTCTCCCCCTGCAGAATCACAAACACCTCACCATCCTCCCTAGTGGGAGGTACAGACTGGGGAAATAAATAAATCCTCACAGAGACACCTGGTGGCTGCCTTGGCCTTGAGGTTGGCCTTGGGGGTGTATAGATAGAACCTCCCTGCCCAGTTTGGCTTCTCGTGTCTGGATGAAACCTTTCCTCTCGTCTTTATTCCCGCTCACTCTCTCACCCACCTTGGGCCAAACAAGAAGCTCTAGGACTTCCACTAAGTGGTATATACACGTGCAGCTCTGGATCCCCTGATCACTGCACCTGTTCGCCGCCACTACCCCCAAGCCCCTTGCCCTCGCCTCTCTTTCTTCACCCAACACCCTCGCCCTGGCCTGACCACCCTGACTCTGCTTCCGTGCAGGCGGATGACAGCGGCTTAACTGAGCACAGTGTGGCCCAGGTAGGCCCCCTCCATCTGCCTTGGCCAGAAAAGCGTTGGTGGGAGGAGAGCAGAGCATCCCAGGGGGACCCGGTGGGGCTATCAAGGCTGAGAAGTCAGTGGTGCAGGAGGGAAGGGATGACAGTGTCAGGCCATCTCTTGGAGACAGTCAGTGGAGGCTTCCAGGGTCCCCTAGGTGATGTGGAGCTGGGTATTAATAAATGATGGACACCTTCCTAGCAGTTCACCTTATCTGCTTCCTGGCTTGGTATAGTTGGATCAAAACCCAGGATGAACTGCCCACCCTGGAGATGGCTGGGTCACTTGTTCCCCAAAGCAATCTGGGGGCTTAGGCCTCTGATGCTTCCCCCAACCTAGAAAGGATACCAAACAGAGTTTTCCTCCAAACCCTCACCCCTGCTGTTTAGGGTCCACGCTGAGATTGTTAAGGGACCCTTAAATCCATGATGGGATCTAATTCTCACCATTTGCCACCATGTCCCCGAGTGACCTGACTATGGCAAACTCTACCCCTGTCCTATCTGGAAGTGCATGTGGGGCAGGGGTGAGGTTTCTGGATCTGTGGCTTGACTGGTTTCCCAGCTGTGCAAACTTCCTGCTTGTCAAGCTTGACCTCCATTCTGTCTGCCCGCAGGTCTGTCTGCCCGGACTAATCCTGCTTTCATGGAGCTTCCTGCCCTGCCACTAACTACCTCCTGCTGTAGTGGCCCAAGCTCAGATGGGCCTGTACCATCCTATGTGGGGCCCCAGGTGTGGTGCCCACTTTCCTGTGACTGCCCTTCGTGCTCACACTGCCTCTCCCTCTTCCCAGTTCCCAATGCCTCCTCCTACCCTGCTGAGATGAATGCAGCCGCATGGCAATTTTCAGGGCTAAAGAGGTTAAGGAGCAATGAGCAGAGCAGATAAGAACAGGATAAGAACAGGTGTGAGTTATCCCAGGATGTATGTTGTGCCTTATCACCTACAAGCTGGGTGGCCTAGGGCAAGTTACTCAACTTCTCTGGGCCTCACATAATCACAGGACACTCCTCATAGAGTTATCATAGAGAATTAGATGAGCTAATGCATGGAGAGCTCTTGGCATAGACCCTGTTTTCCAAAGGGGGAAAGAACGAAGGCACAGCACTTTTAATGGAATTCTTGAGTAAAGAAAACCGAGGAAGTTGCAGGTAGGGAATGGGAGATGAAACGAGGAGAAAGATTTTTGCCGAGAGAAGCAGGAGAACTCCAGGGCCAGGCTGTCCCTGAGAGAGGAGGGGGAGTGGGCAGGAGGAAGGGACATACAGTGTGGGATTGACCTTCTTCGAAAGGGAATGAGGCTTGATGGCTGGAGGGACAACCTGAGGGACATACCTGGGGTTCCCACCATGTTGGCATGGTGTGTGCACAGTCGTATGGATCTGTGTAAACATGGGGTTGAGGCGGTTTCCTCAGCAGGATGTTAGAGTGAACACATCTGAGTGCAGGTGACCCTCAGCAGGGTCTGCCCAGGAGCCCTTTGCCAGCTGTGCCACATCAGCAGCCAGTTGGGGTGGGGTGTTGAGGACCTACTGCCAGCCAAAGCCACAGCTAGGGGTTTACTGAGGTGTCTGGGCACAGGAAGTGTCAGGCCTGGGCCCATCTCTGCCTGGACGTGGCACTGTGGGCGGGAGCTTGAATGGCATGGTGTGGGGAGTCAGGGCCGCTGCCACACCCAGGGCTGCAGATGCAGGAGCGGAGAGCTGGGCAGGCTCTGGCCTGGGCTGGTTGTTGGCTGCAGCCAGTTACGGCTGCTCTTCCCATCTTGACGGCCTGGCCCCACTTAAGGCAGGCAGAGATGAGCTGCTGCCACCTAGTGACCGCGGATTATAGGGACACGTAGAGAGAGGCTATAGACCCCCGCCCCCGCGCTCCGCCCGTCTCATTGCAGTGTTAATGTACTTGTCATTCCTCCCCAGTAATTCTCTCAACCTTGCACACCCCCGCCCCACCCAGGTTCTTCAGTCTGCCAAGGAACAAATTAAATGGTCGTTACTGAAATGAAGGCTGTGCATTCAAGGCTCCCTGCCCCCAGACCATTCTCCCAATCCTGGCAAAAGCACAAAGACCCCAGGGGACACCGGAGACCCCTCTATATCCCCAGACCTTCCCAGAACTGACTCCCAAGGTCTCCGGCCAGGGACTCTGAGATGCAGAGGTTTGGCTTCAACACTGAGTCACCACTGTCCTGGCCTGCTCTTTGGGCCTTCAGAACCAGCTGAGCTGCCTTAACTCAGACCTTAGGCATCCCTGGCCCCAGAGCCCAAATAAACCTGCTTTTGTCTCCTGCCAATGGTCTCTTTCTCTCTTGACCTGGGAAGTGTGTGTGTGTGTGTGTGGGGGGGGGGTGTTTCTGATAAGGGCTTCTGCACTCCTCTGGGGGGCTCATCTCCTGGATGCCCAGTTCCAGGGTGTATCCTTGTGGTTGTGTGACTGGGGAGAGGGGTGGGTCAGGGGAGAGGAGACAATTTAACACAGTGAGGGGGTGCGACATTGATACTGGGGCCCTATATGTGGTGTGGAGGGCTGGGTATGATTGTGTGACAGGGTAAAAGAGTCATGATGGTAGGAATGGTGCATTTGCGGGGGAAAGGAGAGCAAAAGATGGTACACACATGGTGGCCCCGCTGGGATTCTTCTCGCTTTTTCCATTCTTAGCCTCCAGGAGGGAAGGGCGTAAGGTTTCCTCTGGACAAACTGAGGAACAGCACGCCTGTTTTTCTTGGCTTGCCTGGGAGATTGCCGCGGAATTCCTCTGCTGGCATATACCCTGGGCACTAGAGCCCTGCAAGCTTGCCATGGCTAGGCCCAGATACTAGGGGTGAGGAAGCACCGGCCAGCTCCCGCCTTGTATTTGTGTCCAGAGCACCCAGTGCGCTCGAGGGTGTGAAGAATTGCAGGTCCAAAGGGGGAGACGGGCGGAGGGGCATTCTATAGGCAAATGGGAAGGATGGAGTGACTTTCGGGGTACACGACTCCCCTTTTCTCTCCCCGTTCTAGAACCGCCCCTTTCTCCGTTTCTTTCTCTGACATATACACTTTCTGCGTCACGTACAGAAGTACCCGAGAGTGTCTAACATTTCCGCCTGGTACAGCTCGTTTCCCTCCAATCCCTAGGTAAATGCAACGCAAGTCTACGCCCCACCCTGGCTCCGCCCCTCGGCGCCCCCCGCCGCGGGGGGCCCATTCCCAGGACCTTATCCACGATCCTATAGCGCCACCTGGAGGGATAGGTGGGAAACGCGCTCCCTCCGGGTCCCGCTCCCCCTACTAACTCCGCCCCCAGGGAGGGGACAGACCCCTGCTCCCGCGAGTTAATCTCTGGCCTCCAAACTCCGAGGCAGGGCGTTGCTCTAGCAACCAGCGGGCTGGATACGCCCTGCGAGCTCTGCTCCAGCTGTGGCTCGCGAATTTCAGTGTGACGCTGCTGTAAGTGGCGAACCCTGGGTGTTAGTAGAGAGAGTCCCTGCGGGTTATCACGTCCTACATTATAAAATTCTCCAGAACTGGATATTTATAATGGGTATGACTACTTTTGCAATTAGAGAAAATGATAAATATACAGTTATGTAAACAGATTATAAACACTCTGTACACAGCCATTCCACCAAATAATGCAACTCCGAAAGGGAAAAAAAGAGTATGCAATTAAATGCTGTAGAGTTCGGGGCCCATTGTGGCGACGGGAAATGAGAAATTTTCCAGAAATACTTTGGCGAATGTTCGGCCTTATCCGGTGCCCGGCTCCATCCACCGCCTCTAAACGACCGCAAGAACCGGAGGGGCAAATTCGCTTCCTAGCAATCCGGTCGCGCCCTCTCGGGTGCTGCAAGTCCAGTAGTGCAGGGACTGGAATGGGAAGGCCCGGCCGCCACACAAACTGGCTCACCGAATGCTGTGGACTATGCGGTGCTTCCCCATTTTACCGAGAGGCACACCGAGGCTCTGAAAGGTTAAAGTATTTACAACAGTTTCCTTAGAGCCGGACTCAGGAGCGGGCACTGCTGGAGCGAGGCGGCTTTCCCGCGCTCCCTACCCAAGGGCCGTCCGAACCCCTCGCCCACACAGGGACAGTGCGGGGTTAGGAAGAATGAGCCGAGGGGGCATGGCAATGCGGGGAGGCCACCAGAGAGGTGTCCTCGCTCTTTGTGGCCAAAGGACTCTGGGGAGGGGGGCTGCAGCCAAGCAGCCGACCCACGCTCGCGTAGGGGAGAGGGCTGCGCTTAACCGCGCGGGTCTCCGGGGAGCGCCGGCAGGGTTGGGGTCGCCGCCTCTTCCTACCGACGCCAAATTTGCAGGCCCGACTCTCCCTGGCTGAGGCGGAGGGCCCGCTGCAGCCCCAGCCCCCTCTCGGCGCCTGCAGCCTCGCGGAGCCGCCAGGACGGCGGGTCTGGTCGTCTGCCTCGAGCTCTGCCCGCTGGCCCCGGCGCCCCCACCCCCTGGGGCGCGCAGCACGCTGGGCAGGGGCGCCGTCTGCCCAGGCCCAGGTTTTGGGAAGGGCAGTCGGCCATTCCTGGCGGGAGCGGCCCCGGGGCCTGCCTTCCCGTCTGCTCTCAACCCTGGGGCTCCTCCCCGCCTTTCTGCCCTCGTGGGCGACCCGGCGGGTCTCGAGTATCTGTGGGGAAGGGGCTTCAGGGCGCCCCCTTTCCTCCTGCCGAATTGGGACCGGGGCACGTCAGAAACCGAGACCTCAGGGGCCCGGGCCCAGCCAGAGGGCGCACGCACACTGAAGCACTGGCCCGGGGCTCGGGTGCAGGGGGGACGATAGTCACACCTAGACCAGGATAGGGACACAGAGGCAGTACCACCAGGCCCTCTGACCCCCTTTATACCGTTCTGAGCTGGTGGCCCCTTCTCTGGCTCCTCTCGCCCCCTGCTTTCCGGCCATTGGCTGGCAGGAAGGCAGAGCTGGTCGGATTGGTCTGCATCCAGACAGTGATGGATGGCTCCCCTCTGCCTGGACAGCTGCCGAGACGGTGTCCGCTTCGCGGCTCAGTTTGGCTAAGGTGGGACCAAACAGCCCTGGGGAGTGGGTAGGTGGATGAGCTGGAGACCGGCCTAAGGCTCAAACTTTCCGTGCTCACAATCTCCCTTTAAACTCTACAGAGAAAAAAAATCCTACCCCTAATTCCCTGTAGATACCCTTTAACTCCGAAACCTGATGTAGGCAAAATTGAATAATCTACCCAAAGCAGTTTGGACACAACCCTATGGACCTCCCTTTCCCTCCAAACTGGGTCTCATTCATTTAACAATATTCGTGCATTCCGTTTGTTCGTTCACTCGTTCATTCATTCACTCAAATATTTGAGTGTTTGCCAGGAGCCTGGCACTAGGGAAAG